ACTGAACAGTAGATGGCAGTATTATGCCTGAGAAGCGTTTAGTCTGCCTGAAACCAAAGAAGAAGAAGAAGCAGGTATACTGCGCTTCAGTAACAACAAAGGTGAACAAGGCGGCAGGCGTGAGTGACTTGGCAAACTGTTTGGCACTGTGTGGCCAAACATCAGACGAATGGAGGATCATGCCTACTCTGTATCACAACGAAAAGCGGCGGACACCGAACCCCCGTCATCTAAGAAGCGGAAACACGACGAGAATAAACTCAAGCGTGACAAGAAACGGCAAAAAACACGGATCAACATTGGCACGGCATTTCCACGATGGAAGTCACTGATGGAGGAAAAAGGTTTTCAAAGTGACGCTCAAGTTGCCAGTTTTCTCTTGGACAGGTAATTAATCCTACACACACAATTGTCTTTTTATACACGTAATACCCCACCCCCACATCCCGTTTCAACCAAACTATTGTCAAGATGTCAGGTAGCATTACCTAGATAAGGCCACAGCTTCATAAAATTACCACAGCTGATAGTGGCGTGTGTGAGTGTGAGAGAGACAGATATATGAAGCTGCATATTAGCGAGCTACGTGCCAGGCAGCAGACTTATCACTGGATTTATCTAACACTTGTATCTGATAGCTGTTTATCACGTATACAGGTATATTTCAATATTGTAAGTCTAGGCAAGCCATTCCTCTCAGCTTCATCTTATGTACGGTAACAGCAATTATTACAGCTGTGTGTGACTCTGTAACCTCAGATGTGTCACTGGTCCTACAGCTATGAGAGAAGTCCTTCAGCGTCTACTCCGATGAAGGGAAAACCCTCTCTTGTGACAGCCCCAGCTCTGTCAACGATTGGTGCTTCTAGTGGCACAGAAAGGCAAGTCATCACTCTGAAACTATTGTGGTCCCAACACACTTCATAACCTGATTGTAGTTTTGTTGTATTGTGACATTGGTTCAGTAATAAATAAAGCTACTCTAAGATTCTGATGCTAATAAAATAGCAAGTGAGTCAGCTTTCTGTAGTGTTTACCGTCGCTCTCCATATGTGTAAAGAAACATGCTGTGATTATACTTTACAGAGAGGAGCATTTGGATGTAATTGCAGGAGCTACAGAAATTCAGAGCCTGGAGCAAAGGTAACAGCTAACTTGTACCATCTTTGAGCTATGTCATCTTCTTTTATAAACTTATAATTGGTGTATTTTTTTTATTTTTTAACAGCTTACAGGACATGAGTATTGTTGAGGAGGAGATGGGGGAAAATGTTTTCAATGATCTGTTGAATAGTGTGTAAGTGATACTTTCTAACTATTCTAAATGTGCTGTGAACGATTTTTATATTTTTAATTTTTTTTGTTCCCCCCTAATTTTCCCTTCTTTACAGAATCGATTGGACAGATGAAGGTTCTTCCAACATTCATCCCAAAAGTGATGATGGCAAGAATTATGACAGCTCAGATGAAGAGTATTTTCCACCTATTTGTATACGGTATGTCATCACTCATTATTTGTACTGCTACTGTTGTGTGGTATTATAGTTTTTTTTTTGTCAAATTATTTGTTGCACACATGCTTTCATTATGTGTCTCAATAGAATGGGTGGAGCACTTAAAGGACTATCAATTGATGAACTTCCAGTTATTGGACTAGATGAAACTGTACATGATCAGCCTGCACGTGAAGACCCTCCTGATGAGCCACCATGTGATGAAGCACCTGCTTTCCCACAGCCACTGCATGTCCTCTGTGAGGATGACATCGGTGCCAGAGCAGCAATAGTTTATGAAGACTGCTTGAAACAACTGGCCACATTTCTGATCCTGCCGGTGGATAAGTGTACAGCTCTTCTTCAGACTGGCACGTTTTGCAACAGCAGTGCCCCATTTGAGATAAACATCGCTACCAAGGGGACAGCAATAAGTGTGGAATGGGTAAGTCTAGACCCTTGTGGCACATCGTAAGATTATGGTTGTCTAGCTATGACAATTTTCTAGTGGAAGCCAGTATTATTTATTTATTTATTTATTTATTCGCATGTCTTTGACTTTTAGGTCTGTCCCAAAGGACACAGCTTGTGGAGATGGAATTCCCAGGCAAAAATGAAGTTTGGGATGCAAATAGGAGATTTTCTCTTGTCCACCAACATTTTACTGTCTGGCAATAACTATGCAAAGGTTGCCCTTTTGTTCAAATTTATGAACATGGGGATGGTGAACAAGAACACCTTCTTCTCCATTCAGGACAGTTACTGTGTTGACACCATAAAAGACTTCTGGGAAGAGAGGAGGAGTGAGGCCCTCAGTTCCCTTCAAGGGAAAGATGTTGTTGTTCTAGGTACATAGCTCAACGAGTAATAAAGACATTAGACAAGGACAGTGTGATTGTAAGCAGCTGATCATTTTATTTTTTGCCTTTTTGTATTTGTTACTTTTTCAGCGGATGGAAGAAATGACTCACCAGGCCACTGTGCACAGTACTGCAGCTACACCACCATGGAGAATGACACCAAAGAGATCATTTATGTTGCCACCATTGACAAGCGGCACACATCCTGGAACTCTGTTGTCATGGAGAGGGAGGGCTTTATCCAGACTGTAGACAAGCTAACATCAGAGATAAAGCTTGTAGAGGTCTGCACTGATGCTCATGCCCAGATTGGGGCCCTTATGAGTAAGGCTTTATCTGATAAAGTGTATGAATTTCTTTGTTTTAAACATTACTAGAATACTGTAGTGATATTGTATGTTTCTCTACTTTGCAGACCCAGATAAAGGCAAATACAAGGCACTTGGAATTCATCACAGTCTGGACATGTGGCATGGTGCCAAAAACCTGGCTAAAAAAATAGCAGCTGTAAGTTAAAAAATGGCTCAAATGTTATCATTTACATTAATTATAAAGTGATGACTGTATAGGCATCTACAGTATGACTGAAGTTAGCTAATCAATCAGGTGTTTTCTTCAACATTAAAATGTGTCTACTTTTACCCTTACATGTAATATGGTTGAATACCTTATGTCATTTGCCTTTTATATATGTTTTGTTTTTCTGCTAAAGGCAGCAAAAATCAAAGGACAATCAACCCTCTTTGTCTGGCTGAAAGACATTGTGAACCATTTTTGGTGGTGTTGTAAGATGGCTGACACAACTGAGCAGTGTCTTGTAAGTGCATATGTGTATGAGAATTTGCACACATATTTAATGTAGTTCAGGATACAGTTTGTGTATGAAAAAGACAGTGCTTTTCTACTTTCTACACAGACACTATGGATTGGCATCACCCACCATGTGTGCAACATTCACACATGGAAAACAGGAAAATGCGAACATGGACATCTGGAAGAACTGCATGGAAAGGAGTGGATCCAGAGAGACTCCAAATGCCACAAAGCTTTAATAGACATTATTCTCAATAAGCGTTGGCAGAAGAATGTTCATAAATACCTACGCTTCAGGTAAAGTGCATCTAAATGCTTCACACAAAATCACATTGTGTACATTATACTATTCTGTGGTTGTTTTTGCAAACACTGAAGTTTACAATTACTGTTCAATCAGATCAACTGCTGACCTAGAAGCATTCCAGAACCATATTCTGATGTATGCCAGCAAGCGTCATGCTTTCAGTCCCCCAGTTTATGAGGCAAGAGTTCTGCTGGCTGCTCTTGACTACAACTTCCATCGGAACCGACCTACAATGAAAACAGCCGAAGGCAAAGAGATGTAAGTCTAATAAACTTACAACTAAATACTCCCAGTAACTACAGCACATACTGACACTCTTAATCTATGTTTTTTTAAAAGAGCTTATTTATTTTTTTCTTTTGTGGGGGAAAAAAAACTGACTCTGAAGTGTTGTAATCTGTCTAATTAGTTTCAGAAGGCTGTACAACAAAAACGCCAGAAGATACAGTGTATATGCCCTGAAATCTGAAAAAAACTACAGCTATATCCCGGAGCTGCAGGAACGAATTCTTAAAAGAAGACTTGTGACTGAGGTGGGGATGCCGCGAAGACGGAGCCTTCGACCAGATGACCCCAGGAGGCTCGGTTTGGTGCCCCCCATAACTGCACCTGCCACATCAGAACTTGTGCCAACACAAGTCAAGAGAGGTCTAGGTAAGTCACACACATTTATTTGCCTCAATTGTGGCATATTAGGGTATAGCTTGCATGACAAGTGAAGTAAGATGTTGACCACAAACAGAAATCAGTGCAATACTATACTAACTACTTGTATCATGACACTGTCTCCAACAGGACCAGTCTTCAGTCCACCTGATGATATGTGATTCAGACATCCTGCTTCATACAACATGAAAAAAAGTTGTAATGAACGAGTTCAGATGTGTACAGATATTGCTGGGAAATATATTCCCCTTTTGCACAAGTGAAAATATCTATGTCACTGCAGTAAATAAATGATGCATAGCTGGTGATCCGCTGTTTTTCTTATAGCTATTGTATTTTTTATACAAATTTGAGTTGAAGGCAGAACTACAGGATGATAGGGTGCATTTAGCTTTCAGTTCAAACAAGAAATTATACTTTATTTTTTGACTTTGTCAAAGACAGTTCTGGTGAAGATGAAATGAGCTGTTTACAACTATTTATACACTAGAAACTGCAGGTTTATGATTGTACAATGTTTCTATTTATATTGTCAAGATTTGAAGAGATGGCCAAAATATTTAACTTGGAAATTATTTAGATTATAAACTGTGTCAACATAAGTTATTTTTGTAGATTCCTCTTTGGGTTAAAATTACATGGACAAAGCTGATCCCTGTGATAACACAAGTACATTAGTGTAGCCTGAATTAGAAATTATCATTTACAAACATAACAGGAAAGTACTTTTTCTATGGGTCCATGCTTATATGTATATACTGACAAATACAACAGGTATATGTAATTTTTTAGATTTTATTTACAATTGCAAAAACAAATAACTTTCACAAATAAATAATTTAATACAAAATAATTCCTGGACAAAGTTGCAGTGAAAAAAATAGAACATACTTTGAAAGATAATAAAAAATAGTAAAGTCTAACCACAAAAAAAGGAAAAATAGCTTTGATGCCCTGATGATGTTCACACAGGTTTGTGAGCACTTGTGGTCCTGTATTGACATGCCAGAGGGCCAGGGAGAATACTCAGATGCCTGGTATGAATCCTGTGTAATGTCCAGTGGGGTCAGGGAACTTGTCCCTGATGCTCCAAACACAGCAGCTGGGGATGACAACACGGTTTCCCTGGCCTAAAGAGCCATGTTGCCAGAAAATAAAATGCCTATATGCTGCATAACGGTACTCCCGGTTGTCATCCCCAGGCCCCCTAACTTGCCCAAATACTGTCAGTTCCTCCCTGTACTGCCTATGAATACGTAAAAAACCTTCTTCCAAGCAGTACTGGGAGAAGTGAGGTAGCCGGCTTACACAGTGAGCTGGATCCTGGCCACAGCATATCCTCTCCCGGTCTGTAGGCATGTCCCTGCAGTTACCACAAGTACACCATGGTACTCCCTGTACACCAGTAAACGGTGGGGCACCATGCCTGAGCTGATGCATCATCAGGGCATCAAAAAGTAGTCCTGGCTGCCTCTCCAGGAGCTGGGTGGTGAGCTCCCTGTGCTCCTCCAGGGTCATCTCCCCAATAAGTCTCTGAGAAAATTAAACACAGGACAAATACATGTGATGTTTTAATATATTATCAAATGCTAATATCACTGCAGTTTTTGGAGTACATGATGCTCAAACCTGTCTAAAACAGTAACATGCTGCGTGATGATGCTGTTACTCTCCAGTATACTTATTCAGCAACGTCCCTGACGTTTCACAGGTAATGATTCAGTAATTTTCTGTAAAATAATTTTCTGGATATATACCTCGGTTACTTCTCTCCGGCTCCTTTGGAGATCTTCAAGCCTTTCCTCCTCTGATCTAGTCACCCCGCTGGCTCCTCTCCCTCGCCTGGCCCTGGCTGCACGCCCACCCCGGCCTCTCTGCCCTCTTCCTCTCCCTTTTCCTCGCCTTGTAACCCCCGTGCCACAAACAAGACTTGGACTCTGTAAACGGGGAATATATATTCTTCCAGCGAACACAATCTCGCTGTTAAACTAATGAATACAATTACTTCGTCTGTTTATATCACCATGCAAAGCAGCTCACCAAAACGTCACAACGATGTAGAAAAAATAACGGGTATATTCATTATCTAAAGTCTACATGAAATCTATACCCTACACAGACTAATGAAATACTATCTGTAAAATTATCTATGTAAACAAACCTCATCACTTGAGAAGGTAGGTGATTCCGACGTCGTGGAAGACATTTTGTCCCATAACGCTCGCCGTACTGTTGGGGGGAGAAGCGGTGGGGGGGAGATGTTCATGTTGCTGCAGTCTGCAGTCTGGACGTTAGATGTCGCTGAAAATTACACACTGTAGCTTTAAATAAATCTAAAGGTCAGTTCACAACAGTTTCATATCAAGACTTTTACAGCGTTCTTCAGCAATTAAACACACAAAATAAAAAATAAAAAATGTGTTTTAAGTAAAAGTAAATGATTTCCATTGTAGTGAATTCTCCCTCTGCATCATAAACTGAGTGCAGATAAGTGTATTAAAAAGACAAGCCGTGTGTAAAGCAACCTTGACTTCCTGTTTTATAGCCTCTGTCACCCTCAAACACTGCAACACCTCACTGCGATGGACAGAAACGTGCAATAGGTTGTTGGAAAGGTTAGACCCCATAGTTTTCACAAGAATCTTTTATGAGCATGGTGGTGGGCAGTTGGGTGTTTGGTAACGTTCATATTTTTCCTTACAAAATGAATGGATTGAATCATCAGTAGTGGGAGCAGGATCATGGTTTACACACTGATGTAGCAACAATCATTTATTGGGTAGAAAAACACCCAAAACACTCGGACCATCGAAGGGCGGTTGGTCGACGTTTACAGGTGCTGGTCATAAAATTAGAATATCATGAAAAAGTAGATTGATTTCAGTAATTCCATTTAAAAAGTGAAACTTGTATATTATATTCATACATTACATACAAACTCATATATTTCAGATGTTTATTTTGTTTAATTTTGATGATTACAAATGACAACAAATGAAAATCTCAAATTCATCATATCAGAAAATTAGAATATTGTGAAAAGGTTCAAAATTGATGGCCCCTGGTGCCACACTCTAATCAGCTAATTAACTCAAACCACCTGCAAAAGCCTTTAAATGGTCTTTCAGTCTAGTTCTATAGGCTACACAATCATGGGGAAGACTGCTGACTTGACAGTTGTTCAAAAGACGACCATCGACACCTTGCACAAGGAGGGCAAGACACAAAAGGTCATCGCTAAAGAGGCTGGCTGTTCACAGAGCTCAGTGTCCAAGCACATTAATAGAGAGGCGAAGGGAAGGAAAAGATGTGGTCGAAAAAAGTGTACAAGCAAGAGAGATAACCACACCCTGGAGAGGATTGTGAAACAAAACCCATTCAAAAATGTGGGGGAGATTCACAAAGAGTGGACTGCAGCTGGAGTGAGTGCTTCAAGAACCACCACACACAGACGTATGAAAGACATGGGTTTCTGCTGTCGCATTCCTTGTGTCAAGCCACTCTTGAACCACAGACAGCGTCAGAAGCATCTTGCCTGGGCTAAAGAGAAACAGGACTGGACTGCTGGTGAGTGGTCCAAAGTCATGTTCTCTGATGAAAGTAAATTTTGCATTTCCTTTGGAAATCAAGGTCCCAGAGTCTGGAGGAAAAGAAGAGAGGCACTTCATCCACGTTGCTTGAAGTCCAGTGTAAAGTTTCCACAGTCAGTGATGGTTTGGGGTGCCATGTCATCTGCTGGTGTTGGTCCATTGTGTTTTCTGAGGTCCAGGGTCAACGCAGCCACATACCAGGAAGTTTTAGAGCACTTCATGCTTCCTGCAGCTGACCAACTTTTTGGAGATGCAGATTTCATTTTCCAACAGGACTTGGCACCTGCACACAGTGCCAAAGCTACCAGTACCTGGTTGAAGGACCATGGTATCCCTGTTCTTAATTGGCCAGCAAACTCTCCTGACCTTAACCCCATAGAAAATCTATGGGGTATTGTGAAGAAGAAGATGCAATACACCAGACCCAACAATTCAGAAGAGCTAAAAGCCACTATTAGAGCAACCTGGGCTATCATAACACCTGAGCAGTGCCACAGACTGATCGACTCCATGCCACGCCGCATTGCTGCAGTAATACAGGCCAAAGGAGGCCCAACTAAATACTGAGTGCTGTACATGCTCATACTTTTCATGTTCATACTTTTCAGTTGGCCAACATTTCTATAAATCCTTTGTTTTTATTGGTCTTCAGTAATATTCTAATTTTCTGATATGATGAATTTGAGATTTTCATTTGTTGTCATTTGTAATCATCAAAATTAAACAAAATAAACATCTGAAATATATGAGTTTGTATGTAATGTATGAATATAATATACAAGTTTCACTTTTTAAATGGAATTACTGAAATCAATCTACTTTTTCATGATATTCTAATTTTATGACCAGCACCTGTACTTAGTGCTGACTAGAGGTCCTCAAACAGACAGGTTTCTCAACTTAATGTGCAAATAAGGAGTGTGTTTAACGTGTTTATTAACACAGTTTCCATGGTTGCTAGAGTGATTAAAGGATACTGGAGTAAGATTGACAACTTTTAATGTAATTAATAATGGTAAAAAAATGCACCGAGCAGAATCCTGGAAAAGGAAATCCAGAGGCCATTCAAAGTCTGAAACGCTTATAAAAAATGAGTGTATTAGCCTTTTTTCAGTATAGTGATGACTACTTTCAGTGTAGCAGGCCATTAAACTAAAATGTAGGGGGCTCCTAACCCCATATAATGATACCAGAGATGCGCGGATGGGGCAAGAACCTGTTGGTAGAGGCTGCCATGTTTGATTAACATGCAAATGCATGTTTTTTTTAGTATTTGCCCAAAACAACTATGCTGTCAACTTTTTTTTTTAGACACATTTAGACCTCCTCCCTTGAAGGATTTAGTAAAAAAGAAAAAGACCAAAACAAAATCACACCAAAAGAATGAAAACATGACCAAAGTTTAAAGACGTTGAAGATTTCCTTTGCCTGCTAGAAATTATTGGAGCACTAAGTGGTAGGCAAGTGTAAGCCATCTAGACTTTCAGCTCAAGGTGAAAAGCTGGAGGAAAAGAAGAAAAAACAGCTTCCAAAGTGAAGCAAAACTAAACACCATGATTCCACCTACATGGATCAGCATGACAGAATGTTTATATATCTCAAGAATCTGGATTTTGTTGAAAGGTTTTGTACATTAATTTAGCACAAAAGCTCCAAGCTCTTTGATCAGTAACCCAATCAGTAAAAGCTGTCTATCGTTGCACTTGGTTAAATAAAAGAGTAACTCCTTTTCATAGTGATTTTAGCCGTTGATGTGCTAGATTAACAAACAAATTACAATAATCTTCAACATGATCTGCCATTTCACTTAATCCTTTGGAATCTTTTATTCTTCATCAATCTCATCTCTTTGAGCATCCATTGGTCAAGGGTACAACAATAAAGGTAATGCTAACAAGCTAGATGAGAGATGGATTACACCCAGTCAGTTACAGTTACAGTTGGAGAACCAGAAAAAAACATACATAAGGGTATATGGACAGAGCATAGAGGTTCTGCAAAAACAACCTAAACTGGTATTTGAACCAGGGACCTTATTGCTACCAGGCAGCAGTGCTGAGATATTTAATACATATTTAATAAGAGTAAAAAGAGTATGCCAGTCAAATACTTATTTTCTGCTTTCTGGTTTGTGCATGAAATGACGCACCAGATTGCAACAATGCCTGGCAGAAAGGATGGAAAGTGAGTGTGAACAAGACTCGTCCTCAACTTTTTCCTTTGGGAATGGTCACCATGGTTACAGGAGCCTTTTTTTCGGCTGAATGTGGGACAAACATAAGGAAGCAAGAGAGAGAAAGTAAAAAGGGTAAAAACATAGATAAAGGGATGTGATGGAGACAATAAGATAGTGTAAGAAAATCTTAAAATAAGTTAATGTGTGTAAAAAGATCTGACATTGCTTGCATACCTAATCTAAAAACTCTGACCAAAATAGGACTAGGAGTACATCTATAGAAACAGAATTTAGGATGCGATTACAAAAGAGCACCTGCCATACATTGCACTGCAGAGAAGATACCCGATCCCCAGCGGAAAAGGCATAAGGTGGTAGGATAAAGCAGCGACCAAATACACGCTCTAATGGAAAACAAAGGCCAAAAGGGAACAAACAGCGTCAAGAGACTATCACGTCTCATCTTACAACCAGACAATCAGACTCCATCTATATTTCAAAAGCCACGGAAAACTGTCACAACGGTCTTTCTAGATCCCAGATTAGAGGAGGGCACTGCTAATGAAGAGCAGGGCGCAACAGGATCATGTTTCCATCATGTAATCTTAAGGCAACTGTGAGAAAAAATTTAGTAAATATAATTGAAATTATGTATTTAATCAAATGTTTATTACTCAAATATTTGAGCAGACAAGCTGACATTTATCTGATGTAGATGTAGAAGATTCATATGGCCAAGTATCTGCTAAGATGGAGAACTGAACAGATGAGAAGTCACTTTACGTTCCTCTCAGGTGTCTGCTTGTCTAAACTGTGTGTGGGCAGAAACCGTGCTAAACGTTACAGACACCGATCTCAGTGTTCTCTGGTGCAGCTTTGTCAATATTTGCATTAATGCCTGCAAAATGACACAGGCTAAATTATTCATTGAGAACAAAAGGAATATACTTGTAAAGGCTGGTTCTGCTTGACAGCACTGCCTTGCCTTTAAAGACACATGTGCATCAGTGTGTGTATATTCAGTATGTTGACTGAGGCATTTAAAAAAAGAAAAGATGGGATGTGCATGGCTAGGCTCACCAGCAAAGTCACTGCTTCCTCAAGGACACTGCGGCTGAAGGGGCAAGGAAGACAGAAGAAATGACACACGGGAAGAAAAGGAGAAAGAAGAAGACAGGAGGATAAACAGACAAGGTGAAATAGGGCCAAGAAAGATGCAAGACACAAAGAAAGCTTGAAACACAAGGACAGTAATAAAGGCAAGAGATAATAGGAGTGTGTGGTAAGAAGGGATTGAAAACGAGGAGTAAGAGTAATCCAGAAAATCAACAGATGGTGTATATGTGCATGAAATAGTGTACAAGTTGGTTTCTGTAATTTAAAAGGAAAAAAATATTTGCTAGAAAAAAAAAAGGTTAGGTACTTGAATAATTTGGCTTTCTTTAAAAAAAACACATAAATGGGATTAAGAGTTGCATTTCCTTTTTTCTAATGGATTTCACAATTGTAGAAATATTTAGAAACATAAAAGTGATGGAAAATCTTCACAATTACCAACCTCTAACATTACAATATTAACAGAGGGTAAGACCAATACAGATATTATTGTCCTCTTTGGTGGCGGTGGGTTAATTAAGCAGCAGAGATTTCAGGGGGCTGGAATCTCCCATATCAGATCTGTAGTAGTTAACCCTGGTAAATCATTCCAAGATATATCACTTAACCTGCAAATTAAAACCCCTAAAAATGTAACAGAGCAAATTAACACAATCAAAACATCCAAAAAATCTCCTCCCACGGTAAGGAAAGGCAGCCATGGCTGAGTGAAGAACAGTGGAGCATATTGTGAGGCTCTCCAGTGATTCACTCAAACCGCTACCCACTAATGCAGACCCCAAACACTGATAGTGGAGAAGGCCACTGGGGTGAGCTGCATAAAAAAATACTTTACATACATAAGTAGGCAGTTTACCAAAGCAGAGAGTGAACTCTTCAACCGCACAGCATGGCCAACTGTGATAAAAAAAACAGTTTAAATTAAAGTGCATTTAGTAGAGAACCTATAATCATGACAACAAGGCCACAAACGAGTGAGGAAGGTTTTGTTTTGGTCTATGAGATGAAAAATGTATGACCGCGCTAAAGTAGGCAGGAAGAAGCATGTGGCATCTGATGTTGAATGCTGTAAATATAAACCACGGTTGATTATGTTCTCCTGAAAGGCCATACCAGTGCTACGCCAAAGTGTGTAATAGACCGGGATCGCTACAGGATAAGGTGTCAGTGTCATATTTTGCCTAACTGCTGTGTGAAAACAGCATGCTGCACTGCAGCCTTAGAGAGAGAGAGAGAAAAAACAAACCTTTTTAGATTGTTTAACAGAATTACACAGATGAATGTTTGTCAAACATTAGCAGCATGAAAAAAACAACCATTTAAAGTTAAGGAATGACAGTCGGTAAGCATACAGCACTGGTGTTTTTTTTTAATGTGCATTAAAACTAAACTGCATAGGAAGCGATTCTGCTTGTAAAGCCTGAATAAAGCCTTTAACTCTCCTTAATATTTTGTATTTTAAATGGACAAATACATCAGTTATAATATATAAAGAGCCATAGTTTGACAAACAAAAATCTTTGTTACCTTTGCTTTAATACCTTTAAATACCTTAAATCAATAAAATACATATATTTTTTATGTTCAAGACTTTTAGTGCATGTAACAATATTTTTCAGCACTTTATATTTTATCTTTGTAAACAAACTAAAGTAATAGACATTTAAATTTTAACACTTTCCTTGATGGGCCCTTGGCTGGTCCCCTAAGATTCCTTTTATAAACATCAATCTTTGTACTAAAATATTCTTTCTGTCATGATTTGTGGACATTAAGATCTAAAGAGAAGCATCATCTACTGGTCAGTTCAGGGAAAGGGTGGAGTCAGAGCAAAAAGAAGCACGTCGAGGAGAAGGAGGGATTGCATTCGAGTCAATCAGTCAATGCAATCAACTGGTTTTCCTTAGATAAAAAACTTTGACTGTGGCTGGAAGATGGCTGCCATTTGACTGCTGTTTGACTGGGAAGGGCCATTTTGAATGGCTGCTACTTCAGATTCAAGATTAAGGGAATAGAGACACAACTAAGCAAGGACTCTAAAGTATAACCTTAAAATAGTACGCTTATTACACTTCAAAAATACACACAAGAATTACAGACTCACAAGAAAAGCAGCAAACTTATCAAACTTATCATCAGCTGCATAGTAACTAAAATAAAAGCTTCCTTGTTCTCTCCTTATGCCATTTAAAAGACAGTTAAACACGTTAAACATGTTGAACCACTGATGAACATGATAATCTTGGCTCTTACAACACCAACCCAGACTGCTGACTGAACCCACAAGATAAATGTACACACATGCATGAACGTAAGCAAACCCACTGCGTCACTGTCTCGGCTTGGATGGGGACCAACCTGCTTATAGGGCTTCTCTAATTTTCCACCTAATTTTCATAAATAATTACTCACAACGGTGAGATACTTGCAAAGATTTGTGGTAAAAAGCAAGACAAGATTTAAGATACGGCTTACACGTATAGATATAAAGATAAGAATTGTTTCTTGCATGCATGCAGCTTACCTTCCTATGACTATGTAAAACTGTTCCTTCTTTGTGTCAGTCGGTCAGTCAGAGAAGAGTGTCTGTGTGGAGAGCACCGGAGTTAACTTGGGTAAACCTGAAAACACAATTTTAAATCAGCATTAATTTAAGCTTAAAACCTCAGATTTTATAAATTAAAATCACTCAAAATGCAAGGTAAGAATGCATACAGGTGTGAAAGTGTCTTTGTGTGGCAAAAGTAAAAAGAAAAATATCACAAACACTTAACCAGAAAAACACTTAAAACATCTAAGAGATACTTTGGCAACAGCATGATGGATCATGTTACTTTTCTCTTCTTTGCAATCCGAGTTTTTAACAAAAAGCAGAACAAAGCTATTGATATCACAATAACATGGTGAGCTTAGAGGTAAACAGTATCAGAGAGAAATGATTTAACATAACAGAAAAGCTTAAAGCTATGGTAGAACAGAATTCTGGTTTTATAATTTGTTGGCAATCAATAAGCCTGAAACTTAATTGTTAAGAAGATTTTTTCTCTTAGTGATAAATCAGCCCTTTCGTTTGGCCTCAATGCTGATGACTGAGGGCACACTTATAAAACACCTTTGGCTGAAACACCAAAGCTGTTTCAGCCAATTGAATGGTAGAAAGCAGTAAGTGGGGTAGGGAAAGTACTTTTCTCCCATCAGTCACTAGCAATGCATCAAAATGTGTGACTGAAAAATGTCATAGAGTTTATAACCATCTTGTAAAAAAGTTTTCTTTCTGCAAGCTGATTAGCAGTGCTCAGTTCTACAGGGATCGGGCAGCATGCCAACCACCCTGGCACGCTTCCTGACGTTTCTTTAAAAGTACTTGGATAGTCCTGTGAGGCTTGCTAAAAAAGAAAAAACAGCAAAAAAACAATGAATGCATTTATTTCTCCAAGACATCTTGACCTTGTGAAAAGTTGCTTATTTGATCATCCGCCTTCTAAAGTTTGCATAATTTAGTGCTGAGCCCCTCTGAACATACCTTACGAGGCAAAAAAAAGGCTTACTTTTTTTTTTCTTTTAGAAATGAATTAATCAGTTAATCAACTCAGCTGTACGACAACCAAATTCCACACAAACACAACTGTTGACCTTGATTATTTTACTTCAGGGAAGTTAATGTACTTGTAGGAATTCAACTGTTAAAGTTGCCACTGTTAAATCATCTGTTAGATAACTATAACATCTACCCTTTTTTTTTTTTATAAAATCCTGATCTATTCATTAGCAAAATAATTTTTCACAAGTCTAGTTCATTATTTTTTTTTATAATTTGCTGTTCTTTAAAGGCCAGTACACCTAAACAGTGGAAAGGGTTACATAAACTGCCTTACTAGCTTTCTGCCTTTATCATTGGAACTAGGGGGGGATTGCTTAACCACTGTAAAACATAAGCCAATCCACTTTGATTGGTATTTATTAGTAGAGCTGACAGGCATCTTAAGTCAGGCAAGCTGGAAAACTCAAACCATAACAACCATACAGAGTAATAATTGCATCCAAACCTTTTAGAAGCACATTCTCTCCTATGGCTGCCTTCATGTGACAGAGATGAACCTGACAAACCAGATACAAGGAACCTGAGGTTGGCACACCTTCCCTCAAATCTCAGGAACAATGTAACAGCCAAGAAAATCAAACCGACACAAACGCATAGTATTTACTTTGAGATGTTTGCAAAAAACCGTCACACCTTCGATGAAAGGGCATTAGTCAGACAGTACTGGTTATAGAGTGGATGCGGCAGTCATACAGGTCAAACTGGTTAGAAATCTAGTTTAGTCTTTATAAATGTAGGCATGCATGAAAAAAACAAAAAAAGAAAACAGGCGAATATTAACTATAGAAAACACCACAGTAAAACCTTGTTCAAAATTTACAGGTTGAGCCCTGTGAAATATACATTATAAGGGGCTTAGAAGGATGAGGCAAGAGTTTAACAAGGAACAGGGGTAAAGAAAAAACCCCCCACCACATTCTTCTTTAACAAACTAAAATAAAATTCCACAAATTACATGAATAGTTTTCAACAATCTAATGGGAGTTGGTCAATGCAGGCTTATGCTTCCCTTCACAATGCAGCCTTTTAAGCAGGATCTTGTCTTAGACAAAAATCCAAGGCTTTAACAATTACACTTTGCAATCTCAAAACTATTATATGTTTCACAAATCAAATAGGAAACAACTAATGTGCTCAAAAAAAATGTAAATAACTCCACTTCATTTTGTACTTCTATTATCTTTTATTTTCAAAATAAAAGTATAAAACCACACATGTTTAGTTCCTTTAATGGCAAGAGAATAAATCAGGACAGGTTCAATAAAAAACACAAATTACAGCACTGCCAGATGATTTTAAATGACAGGCATAGCCTCTAATAAGCAGAAAATTATGTCTTCTTTGTAATTTACCAATCTGTTGCCTCACTTTTGGAAGCCATTAAAGATAATGAGAAGAATCTGGGTGTCACACTGAGAACAAATGCAGAAATTAAGCATAAACACAGACATTGTTTTATGCTCCAGCAGGGGGTAAAGAAACTCAAATCTGTAAATACAACACTAGCAATAACATTTTTAACTTCTTACTTACATATTACCAGTAAGATGACTAATGATAACAAGGACAAAATGCAGAAAGAAAGGGAATATATATATCCATTACTCTTAAACTTTTTTTTTCACATCACAACAGCAAAATTCCGTGGATTTTATCCGATCGATGCCGAGTGGCTACATTTGTAAAGAAGGTAAGTAACAGTGTCTTTCTCATTTTTAACAAAGCACCTAAAAAGTGTTGGCCCCTGTAACCTTTCACCCCTAAATAGCATCTAGTGCAACCGGTTGACTGGTTGATCAATCACCCAATATCAATCAGACATACAGAATCTGAATTAGATCCTTCATTTTATGTTTCTTACTGTTCTTTCATTTTTTGAACCATTCCACATATTTTGTATACTTTAGTAATTTAAGCCTGAAATAAAAAAAACATTCCTCACCTATTTTTACCTCAAACTGTTCCATGTAATCCTAATCCTGATGATCTCTGGTAGAAATCTCCCACATGGCAGTAGTGCTCTTCATCTAATATAAATCCACAACAATTTTCTAAATCGAATGCTTTAGAGATTGGTTTATATTTGTGCATGTTTTGTCTCAATGTGAAGATAATAACATAATCAAAAGGTCAGAGCTGTATATGCCCGCAAGGCAGAAAGCTCAACATTTTGTATCCTTATCTTTATTTTAGAGTGTCACTTTACCCACAATAATGCAGATGAAATCTAACATACCATGTAGAAAAAAGAAAAGCGCAGAGTAGGAGAAGGTTTTGCATTTTCTTTTGTAACTGCACAAATAACACATTAGACTTGTATCACATGATGGACAAAGAAACGCTCTTAAAAGGTGGATGGGCAGAGATGTTAGGCCTGAGATAAAGTTCCATGAAAGGAGCGTGAAAAGGAAGTAGAGATGTGAGCCTGATAGATACAACAGGTGTCAGGAAGTCTCTTCATTTAGCCTGTTGTTCTACAATGTTGTAAATCAGGAAGCTTTTTAATGGCCATTGTGTTTTTCCTAGCAGCAACACATGGGATCAACGAAAAAGCCTTTAATTTTAGAATACATGATCATAGAAATGGTAGGATTCGAGTTTGCAACCTGTTAAAAGCCATTTGTTCTGCTATATCTTAAACTGATAAGTTCTGAATGAAAAAAACTAAACAAATTTCTGGTGCAAGTTTGGTGCAAGGTGCAAATGTTGGCCTGTTTTGGGCCAATTCTCCATTCGTGCAAGCATTCATCATGTAGTAAACGGGGTAATGAGGGGCGATTAGCCTTTCATAACCACCTCCTGATCAGGAAGCGTAAGGCTAGGACAAAATCAAAATTCAGTCGGTCCTCATGAGGTGTTCGTGTGCAAACCCTACTGTTGAAGCAGATCTACGAGGTGATTTACCATAGCCTCACATACTGCACATGTGCAAACGAGGGAATTCTTCTTCTTCTATTGTCTATGTCCGACCAGTTGCATCTCTCTGCGCAGAGTGCGATGTGTGGTTTTTGGACGTGCAGTGTGAGCAGTTAGATCGAATCAGAGCATCAGTGTGAGAACATACATCTTGTGAATTTTTAAACCCTGCAGATCAGTCTAACAGTCTGAGCTGTAGCTGAGTACAAAGACTGAAAATATTGTACAATGTATGTCCACACTGATCCTGCTGAGCAATGCTAAATGCAAAATACTTTAGTTTGGACCAACAATCTATAGCTGAAGACTAAGAGTGTTTTTATTTTTAAGAATAAAAGTGGTCCAAGCGTGCATCCCGATCAAGAAAACGTTGGTTTCACCAGAAGAAAATAACCTACCCAGAGTCCAGAACTAAATTCCTAAGAAAACCTGAATGGAGCTGTGGATAAAAGATATCCTCACAATCTGAGATTTGGAGAACTCTGACCAAGCTGAGTTCAATATGCAGGATGCTGTTGGACTCATTTTAAAGAAGACTATATGCTGAAACTGATTTAAAAGATGGGAAAACGTATGTAATCCACTTAAGTTGAAAAAAGAAAATCAAATAATCAAACCTTAGGTCTAATACAAACAGCCCCTCTGCAACAACTGACTTATTAGTTGGGTTTATTTGCGGACATCTTATTCTGATAAGGGAAAAAATTCTCTAAAAATAAAATACTCTGGAAGATCACCAGATTTAAAGACTATAAGAAAACGCTCCATATTTCTTTATTGAGAAAGGAGGAAGTTGTAATTGTTCTACAAAACAGAACCCATACAGAATAATGCCATAGGGGCTGAGCTGCTCTAAGGTGCAGTATCATTTCGATTTGTGAAAAGTTTTCCCTCACAAAGATTGCCATCTCATCTCAATTATTTTTAAATTGGGCTTTATTTTGTTTGGGTTATTTTTCTCCAAAAAGCAGTTTGGTGTATTATTGAGCTGTGGCTGTGACAACAGCTTTCTAAATAGCACTTTTAAAGACCCAAGAGCCTCAGCAAATTGCGCAGATGACAAGCCCCAGTTGTGAGCTGAAAACATACGATCTACATCAAACT